GTAAACAGAAACATTACCATTCATTCCTTAAAACTTGATAAAAATTGTGGTTAGGATATATAAGCATAATCAGTGCACTAAATGAATACGGTACATAAATTTCTTATTTAATAAATCCAATGTATTTCTTGTGTTTTCTATGATTTAGCAAACACGTAATCCTCTATTTGCCAGCAATTTGCCAACAAAATGGTGCCATAAGCCACTTAATGGGGTAGTTGCAGAACTATAGCTTACTGGTCTGAAAAAAAATTTGGACTGAAGACCAGAGGGCTTCATGCAGTGCCATCAATGTGAAAAAGTGTATGTTTATACAAATACGCACAAAAAGGTGTGCTGTTCCTAGATTCATTTCTTGTATACCAAAGTTTCTTTCTCAAAATATAACAAATATGATACATTTCAAATGTGCAAAATGCTGTTCCTCATATCTGAAAAGACATCATTTCCTTTTCAATTTGGGGAAAATGTTTAAAAAGGGGGGTGTTAGTACTCAGTATTTGTTTGACACATGAAGAGGTCTTTGAATAATCTAAGTCATTTCTTGTTGGTGCTAGGAAAGATAACAAAAAAAAATAATGTATAAGAATTCAATTTTGCAACGAGGAATTTTTTTGGAAGACTTCTGCCTTGGGATTAGGAAGGGATATTCTGCATTCAACTGTGTGAAGCTAGAATGTTCTATCGCATACTTTTCGCTAAAGATATCCCCAAAATATACTGACAATTTTTTAAATAGTCTATAACCTTTAACAAAAACTACAGTCTCTATAACTTGCTTGTCTTACCTCGTTACCTGTGTCCTAGCTAATCGTCTCAATACTGCTCCATAATCCGGAAGTAAACATAATCGATGGCGCCCTCTGCCAACTACAAAATAAAAATGGATAACACCTGTTTTCCCGGAATGTGTATCGCAAGAAAAAAAATGAGATCAACATTTCCGTTTGTGTCTTATTTAAAAAAAAAAAGAAAACTGCTCTAGTTTATTTTTCTGATATCTAACTGAATTTTCAAATTCCTCTCTATTTACAGGCAAAATGACAAGGGTCCTACCATGGAAATAATGATTTAAAAATATAATAAATATATGGATCATTTATAAAGAATTTGACTAGCTTTATTTTTATATGACCACTTCATCGATAATAAACTACGTTTATAATAAATAAAAGAAATTCATAGACAACATTACAAATCAAATTTGTACATCTTTGATTATTCTTTATTGAGAATAATCTTTGATCAGCTCCATTTTTTTTTATAATTCACTATTTGATATTATTAAGGTCTGTGTTATTTATTTATTATTTTATCCCTTAGATCATACCTAAGTGGACCTTAAAATCGGTATCCAACTGTTTTTCTCTTGGAAATTTAAAAAAAAATAAAAATGTGCAAGGAGAAACAATAATATAATATTCCAACGACGAGTAAATTTAGTCAAGTTTGTTTAATTTATAAAACAGTTCTTTTCAAAGTTCTTTTCAACCTTAACCCCCCCCCTCCAGCAAATGCATAGCCATATATATATATGTATTGCATCAAAACAGAGACATAAATAACGCTAATAATGTCGTTTAGGCCCCCAATTGCACCTTTAAAATGAGATTTTAAAATGTGATGAAGGGATAAAAACGACAATTTAAAAATCTAATAATTATACATCTACAGAACATCGTCCATCTTAACCCGAAAGATAAAATGGCTGTAACTCTCTTAAATTAAAGGAAAAGATAGAGTGACAGACACATTAGGTTGGTGAAAATTATTTTCACAAGTCTATTCCTGGTAACAAGATCTCTCAAGTACCAATATTTTGGCATGGCTTTGAGTTTTTAGTTCCTTTTCAGAAACTTAATTACTACCACAATTTTTGGTTAGTTGCTGCAAGGACTTTCTTATTTCTAAGGTGTACACTCCTTGTGACAAGACCCTTCTTGAATCACAAATATTTTTGATAACTTGACCTTGAAAGGAAGCTTAGACCTTTGCCAAGAGCTGCCGTATGGGATATCAGTTTTTCACAAACTAATTTTTTTTCTTTGTTAACGGGGCTAAAAATGTAAATGTATATAGAGAATTTGAATTGATACCTATATTGTATATGTAGTGAGTATGTGGAGAAAAAAAACATTTGTAAGCTCCGTGAATTTAAAATATCCCCCACTTTCAGCGGGACAATAAAAACTCAAATTCTACTGAAGACAAAAGTTTTATACCATTGATTTATTTTTATAACAAATTTCATACAATATTTCACGTACTTAAGACTTCTTGAAAAACTGCTATGTTTTAGAACGATAACAATGACAATTTATGCTTTACAATTCTACTTTTTAACAACTTTCGTGTTCTTTGTCAGGAGTGCATAAAAATGTTAATATAGAAATATTGCTGATCAAATATACCGGGTATGAATAAACAAAAATACAAAGAAAGATCAATGAACAGAATGTTTCATCATAAACATTATATTCTAAATATATATAACACCAGCAGACTTGCCGTAAATTATACTTGTAATATTTTCAAACGACCAACTGATTTACAAAACTTGGTTGAGTTTTTGTATACTATAACTTTACAAACAATGCTTGATAAAATTCATCTTGGATGTCAAGAGTGCAACAAAATAAGGTGACATAGAATCACTTATCAAAAGCAAGCATTTTTGGTAAGAAAACCTGTAAGTCAAAATTCTTTTCATCGTCGGAAACCCACAGGTGATCTCGTCTTTACTTATCACCCGGGTGATGAGTAAAAATTGAGATAACCGTGGGTTTCCGACGAATTACTTTTAGAGTTAGATTTATGGAAATGACTCAAACGAACAAATGGGTACATTTCGGGGTTTTTATTGCATCATATTTCTTTCATGTTAAATTTTTTCAAACTAGAAAAAAAAAATCATATAAATAATAATAATAAAAAACTTTTTTCATTTTGAAGCATAAAAATCTCAATTCTTTTGATTATGTTATTTTGGAAAATATCTTAAGATGGAGTATTGTTTTCTTTTCTTTTTCCTTTTCAAGTTAAGTTTTAGAAGTTTTTGAAACTTTACTTTTTATTTATAATTTTTGTCTATTCTAATGCCACTTCAGGAATTTTACCGGAATGGGTATACAGTATAATGATGGAAGTTAATACCATTTTGGAATCCCTACCGCAAATACATAAATAAATCAATAAAAATGAATGAATAAATAAATAAACTGGGTAAAATGTATCATGGTAAGAACAGTTCAGAAACCAGGTTGTTGCAGAAAAAAAAAATCGACCTCCTTTTGCCTCAAGGTAAAATCGAAAATTTCCAAAACCTTATTGCACATGAACAGGAAACCATCTTTCAAATTTAAAAGATAAATTGGTTACAGCTTAAAGTTAAAGAGGAGTTTGAGGAAGAAGAAAGTTTGAAAGACGGACGGGCAGACCTGGCAACTATAATTTACTCGAACTTCCAATACAAAGTGTGGGTATAAAAAGCAAATAAATGAACGGAAAAATGTATTTCTGGTAACATCTGTTATCTGATAAAACAAAACTCTCTAGCAAGTAATAGTCCATCTTTAATTCGACCAAATTGTCGCACAAAAAATTTCAATTTCAAGCTTAATGTTGAGCCTTTCTTAATTAACTAATAATTTAAAGATTTATCCTTCCTGGCCGAGGGTTGGATATCCTTAAGATTTCGACTTATTATACCCCCCGCTTGAAAAGCGGGAGGGTATATAGTAATCGGTATTTCCGTCCGTCTGTACGTCTGTCCGTCCGTCCGTCTGTCCGTCCGTCCTTCCGTCTGTCCGTCCGTCCGTCTGTTACGCTTTGGGGTACCCATCTCTTATCCGCAACTCCTCTCATACCACTAAAGGAAATTTAATGAAACTTTCACAGAATCTTTATTACATATTGCCATTGTGCACCTCCTATTTTACTTTTTGATCTGACATATATTTTGGATTTTCCAGAGCAAAAGATGGATACTGCCAATATATTCATATGGGAGGCGGGGGGTATCATTTAGTGAGCTCATTGCTCTCAGTACCTCTAGTTTCTATAATTAAGATTTTCAAAAATACTGGTGGAACTTAGTAGAAATATTGCTTAAACTAAGGAATTTTACGTAATGTCTTTCCTACCTTGAAGAATTTTATACTCTTCCCATTCTAAGAATAACCGTTTAATATATGATGTAAAGAGGAAATATGTACACATTTTATGCTAAAACTGATAATAATATTTGTGTGCCACAAGTAGGAGGTCAATGTCTATTAGGTAATTTTTAATCGTCTTTGATTTTCTACGTAATACTTGTGACAAGACCTTTCTTAAGAAACCAACAACGTTGACCCTTTGACCTTGGAGTTTGACCTACCTATCAAAAACTTATCCTTGGCCATAACCTTTGAACAGGTGGTGCTAGGGCTTTCATATTTCACAGTCGTATTTCTTGTGAGAAGAACCTACTTTGGATACCAATAACTTTTGATTGAGAAGAGATAGGGCTTTCATATTTGGCATGCGCATTACTTGTGACAAGATATTTCCGCTATGATTTCTGAATCCCTGACCTTCACGATTGACCTTATTTTCTTAAAGATAATTTCTAAATGACATATGATAGAGCGTTCATATTTGACACAACATATCATTAAAAATGACATCTCATAGATGTGTTTGACGGGAAGTTTTATATTTTTGAGATATTATACACTCTTACATTATTTTTCATTAAAAAAAGGGGGGTATTATCCATACTTCAGGTGCCTGTGAAAATGCAGTGTGTTTTCATCACTCAGTTAAAACCCTTAAATTTTTATACTCTTGGCGTTTTAAACCTTGTTCTTCTTGATTTTATTTTTATCAATGAATAGAAAGGTTTAAAATGTCAAGCGCCTGTGAGGCAATCCCGCTTGTCTCTAAAAACTTATAATGTCCGGAATTTATATATTTGGGTACAGGTTTTAGATACTATGTAGCAAATAGGAGTTTCCTGTTGTAAACATTCAACAATTTCCATTTTGCACATTGTCATTGTTAATATTTGATGGTGCTTAGTTTAGAGATTGATAGGTGGTGAGTTTATTGTTGTTGGTTATTGAATAAAGTATTAAAAACGCTTCAAAGAAGTTTAATATCATGACATCAAATTTGAAAGGTGTTATATTACGGGATTGATTATAAAATGATTAGGCCATACTGTTTACAGATCTTGATGATAAAATGGGCCGTGTTTTGTACTTACATTCAAATCAATTCAATTAACACTATATTTAACAAAAAGTAAAAAACTTAAAATAAAACAGATAAAGCAAAATCTGTCTAAATTCGACGATATTTCATAATAATTTGAACTTGAATATTGGTGGCAAATATGACTTCTTTTTAGACGGTGGCTATATACAGCCACAGGCTATTGCTGCTGGTCTGGTTTTAAGAATTAGTACATGTACATGTTATTGCTTTTGAGTTGTTTTGTACAAAGAATATAATGGACCCAGGCTTTCAAGATAACTGTGGTTCTACTCCTTTGCGGGGCAAAATGATATATTTTGGTGAAATATAACATAAAAGCAATTGTTTTACAAACATCATTTAATTACAAGGTATCTATCCCAACAAAAACTCGGTCAACGGTTATTTATTTGCCCTGCAAAAGAGTAGTACCTCAGTTACCATGAAAAGGCTAATGAAACTTTTTATGTTGGATTTGATAACCTTTTTTTTTTTACCCGATGTAAATAAACTGCAAAAAATTTTCAAAATATTTTTTTAAAAAACTGATTGCAGAATTTGAACTATGGCAAGGCCAAAAGAAATGGTCCCAAACCAGGCTCTGGGAAGGGCATTTCTAGATCGGAGTGAAAGAGAACGGTCTCGTCTGAAACTGACTTTGGCCAAACAAATGCAAAAAGATATTGGAAGGTAAGACACTGTAGATTGATTGTACAATTTCCCTTTATGAGACAAAGATTTTATAGATAAAAAATGCTAATATAAGTCAAGATAATATATTTAAGAAGAGAATTTTATTGTTTCATTGCATGCAAATTCATATAACTGATTTACTCACAGTTTAAGCAACCCTTTAATGATTAACTTTAATGATGGTATTTGTTTTTAAAATTTCAGAATGCTAGATGAAGAAATTCACTCTGACTTAGAAATTGTGGTTGGGAATAGGGCCATTCCTGTCCACAAATTTTTCATTAAAACCAGGTAGTCTGAAATTAAAAGTTTTATTCCTTGAAGTATATTTGCAATAATCAAGTAAACTGTCTGGTAATTTTTTTTTCAACTTCTTTTGTAGAAGTAAGCGAATTTATGAGCGACTTTTAGAACTGTCTGGTGGCGAGTCACAGAGTAGATCCTTGACCATGCCTTGCTGGTTAGACTATGACACAATGATCATCTTGTTTCAGTGAGTACAGTTATGCAGGAATCTGTAACATACATGATATTTTGTTCCTTTAAATATTTGTTAGTGTGATTATATCTCTGGCTTTGTACCATGCTTGCCAGAATATTAAACTTGATATAATTCTGAATGTATTGAATATCAGTTTATAGCTATAATGTTTTCTCAGTTCTCTTATGTCTGAAATTTTATTGAAAAATGAGTAAAGGCATGTCTGAAAGAATATAGTAATAATAATCACATGTATTTTTATACAATGTCTGATGTATATTCTTGTGATTTTAGTCAGCTGTACAATGTGAATTCTGTGGATGGAGAAATTGACGAGGTAGACATAGCAGCAGGCCACACTATGGTGGACTACCTCCTGTCACTATTGTCTGAGAAAAAGCCCGACCAGAGGGAGGGCTCTTCTGAATCTGAGGAAGAGGAAGAGGGGGAGGGAGGCAGAAAGGAGGGGCAGGACATGAATGGGGAGGGAACAAAGTGGGCTGAACCTCCAGGAAGTGAAGCTGTTTTAATGAATGGGCTGAGCCAGGGAATGGAAGAGTGTGATAAAACGGTTCCTGGTGAAAATGTGGAAGGAAAAGTGATTAACACTGAAAACTGTGTGGAGGAAAATGGCATATGGGTGAACAATCAAATATCTGGTGAATTATCTTCACATGTTGATAAAAATGGACTTGGTGAACATGAACATCATATGTCAGAAAATGTAGACTCTGCACAAAGTGCAGCTGATGATGATCTCAGATTAAGTGATGTAGAGGATGTCGTAGAGGAGAAACAGAATTTGTCGGAACTGATCAAGATGTCGTATGACATAACGGTGCCGTACGACACGTGTAGTGTTCTAGGAGAGGATCTCCTACGTGGATACTTACAGGACTTAGATTACGATTGTGTCATCACTGTGTCCGATGTGCATTTCAAGGCTCACAGGTAAAGAATCATAAATGTTTATGCTCTCCCATTGTCAAAGCGGGTGTTCTGTAACTTCTTAGTCTAGCTGCCGAAGTGATATGAAAAGGTTTTATTAAGTTCTTATGACTTTGATAACCTTGAAGATCACACTTTCAGTGTGTGATTGGTGTTAAACCTTGATATGATGTAACTCAAATTCAGCAATTTTAATAATATATATAAACCAGCGTTCTAGTTTAGAAAGTTATTTATATAATATTTTGGATGGTGGACTCACTTTGTCATTTTCCAGGTTTTTGACTTACCAGCATGAAGGGGTGGATCAAGAATTTTACCCATTTGGGGCAACCATACCAACTAAATATAACTGCAGGTCTTTGGCAAGCCAAAACTAAACTCATAATCCTAGATATAACCAATGATGAAAAGGGGCCAATGTTTTTTTATACCTCCTGCTTGAAAAGGGGAGGATATATAGTAATCAGAATGTCCGTCTGTCCGTTATGCTTTGGGGTACCCAACTCTTATCCACAACCTCCTCTATTACCACTGAATGAATTTTAATG